CTTTGCAGGTGGCAGCTATGTTCCGGTTCTGAACAACACCCACAAACTCAATCTCAGGGGCAGTCATCTCAGTATCGAGTTGCACGAGTCATGCAAGATGATTCATGCGATTTGGTTTTTGACCTTACTGCTGGAACCTGTGATGATGGGCATTTGCGTGTTGTGCACTTTCATATAGGTGATAACGATGAGGAAATGGAATCTACAGATTTCGTCTTGGGTGTCAGAGCAATTGTGGAGGAGATACCCGATGACCCAACGGCTGAAGTCATCTTGCTGGACTCAGGTGCTGATGCCTCAGTCTTTCCACTTAGCCTCGTTGGAGCTGGAGTGCCATAGGGCACAAAGGGGGCCAAAACTTTGTGACGCGCAAAGAAAACAAACCATAGAAAACATGCGTTTGGTTGAAATTCGGTTTGTGATTTTGAAGGAGCGTGTTGCCATCTCCTCGAAGGTGACACAACCAATACTTTGCTTTGGACACTTCTTGGAGCATGGATTTGGAATTGATGGCGTGGAGCAGGCCTTAACTCATTCCAATGGGAGCATCAGTATCAGACTCCAGATGCATAACAAAAACACGGGGGTTTTGGGGCATGTACGTGTTCTTCAAGCGTTGCCTGAGCCGGACAACTTTCAGGCGATCAGAGCGGTTAAAGCTGAGGTGAAAGAAGGGTTGATTAACAACCCAACTGCATGGATTGTGAGCGACATGGGATACATCATCGCAGGCATGTCAGTGACTGCTTCCAGGACTCTTCATTGGCATTTCCTGCACTTCAGCCTCTTCAATTTAGGACGACACTTGTGAAAGGTGATGATGGATTGTGGCCTTGAACTGACAGAGCCTCTCAGCATGATTGCGCAGTTGGATGCAAAATTTCATGACAAGGAGGGCAATCGCAGCGTGATCACGATCACCACTCAACTCAGGGCGAGAAATCTCCAAGCATGATGGGATTTCAGTTTGAAGGTGAAGGCCCACAGGCTGAACAATTTGAGTCACATGATGATTGAGGTGAGGATGTTCTTCATGCACCTGAAGATGAGGTTCAGAGCCTTGACATTGCTGAGCATGGATAACCCCAACAAGGCCAACCAGTTGGAGATGATCAGATTGTTGTGCGCCCAGCCAGTGATGATGAAATCGTGGTGAGTGGAATCACGCTGAGTGCCAACAGCAGTGTTGCAGCCTTGAGAGCAGCTATGGTATCTCAACTTCAGGCAGCAAATTTAAATGCTTTGGACGCCTCTTGCAACACCCGAAGGCCTTGGAGCTGCAGACAATTACCCATGCTGCTCAGGATGCGTTGCAGGCTGAAATTAGGATTCCAAGAGTTCCTGCGCTTCCAGAACCTGCCAATGAGGTCTGGCAGGAACGCCGCAAGTTGACTCACACACCGTATGAGCCTTGGTGTGAGAGCTGCGTAGCACATAGGGCACGTGCAGATCGACGTCCCAAAAAAAATTCTTCCAAAGAGGGCAGTATTCCAACCATTTCCTTTGATTATTTCGTTACGAAAGCTGGAAAAAGTAACGCTGACCCAGATTCTGTGATTTCACTGGTGCTGGTGGACAGCAAAACTGGTTTCTTAGGGCGTGCGCCTATGAACAGCAAAGCGCAGTTTGACTTGGCAACAAAGGAGGTGATAGTTTTCTGCCAAACTTTGGGCTACAACTATGTCATGTTGAGGTGCGACAACGAACCTCCCGTGCTTCAACTTCAGCGTTTGGTTGTGCAAACTCGGCAACGAATGGGTTTCAAAACACAGGCATGCACACCTGCAGCATACCAACATGGAAATGCCTTGGCAGAGACTGTTATCCAACGCATTCGAGGTTTGGCTGGGAACTTAATGCGCTCACTGCAGTTGCAACTTGGAGTCACAATCAACTCCAATCATGTGCTTTGGACTTGGTGTTTGCGGCATGCAGCAGCCACCACAGGGCGCAGTTGCTTCAGCGGCTCCTTCTGGTGGACCTGTAAGCGCTAGTCATGCTGGAGGAGTTCTTGCACAAGATGTTGGACTTGAGGTGCCCTTGAATCCAGATACCCATACTGCAGTCAATGCTCTTCCAAGTCCACGCTGCCCTTAAGTTACCCGAGGCATGCTGAAGGAGATGATGCAACAGAGACCAAAAGAGCCAGAATAGAAGAGCACAAAAAACCTAGGATCAACAAGGTTGGGATGCATTTGAAGGAATGTGAAAAGATGGTGACAACGGTTCAGTTTGGAAAGGGGGAGTGCCATACCATGGATGAATATAAAACAGAATGGAGAAATGATGATGGTTTGGAAGCATGGCTTGGCGAGGACGAACTCTACTTTGCAGGGACTCCAGAAGTTGTTTGGAACGATTAGGATGTGAAGGAACAACCTCCACCACCAGACCCTTCCATTGATCTGGTGGCACATGAGATCGAGAGCAACCGCTTGCTGGAGATGAAGGTCTTGGTCAAACCCGAGGCCTACAAAGGACAGGTTGAAGGTCGTGTTACAACCAAGTCTGTGAGAGATTGGAGAAGGAAACTATACGTATGTGATGGCCAATCTGGAGAAAGATGGATGCGGCGAAGCCGACTAGTAGCCAGAGAGTACGCCACAGTGAAAAGAGACCACACTTTCTCTCCTGCAACTGGTGCGCATACTTCGAACCTTCTTCCCTTGCTTCACCTCCAACGCTAAGCAGAAGGACAAGGCAGCGGTGACCACTACAAACCACTGATTGCAGCCCTGGACATCAAGGATGCTTTCTGACAGGTACCTCAAAGTGACCCCATCCAGGTATACCTCAACAACTCTCCCTTCATCATTTTGAAGAACTTGCCAAGTGATGCCTCCATTCAGCTGGAAGACACCTCACACCCGCTGACTTCTGAGGACGCAACTCACTTCAGATCCATTGTAGGATCAGCTCTTTACCTTGGAAGAGATCGTCCCGGCACGCTCTTCTGCATAAAGGAGCTGGCTGGAAAGATGTCCAAACCTAGCTTGAAAATCCGTAAAGAAGCCCAGTGGGTGATTGAGACTTTCTCTGATGCGGATTGGGCTGCAAACCGCGGCCATCGGCGATCAACATCATGTGGGTTCACTTTTGAATGGAAACTATTTGTACCCAAGCTCGAGAACACAAAAAATTATTTCTTCGTCGTCGTCCGAGAGCGAACTTCAATCAATTGTTTCATCGATGTGTGACTGTTTGTTTATTCGCCGGTGCCTGGAGTTCATCTTGGGCGCAAAGCTGTTGCAGGTGCACTTCACCGACAGCTCATCCGCGAGACAGTTGGTCTCTCGCCAGGGAGTTGGAAAGGTGCGCCACTTAGCAGGGAAAATGCTTTGGGTACAAACCAAAGTGAGAGAAGGTGAAGTCATGCTCTCACAAATTCCAACAAGCTTCAACATCAGTGACGAATCAGTGACGTGGGGACCAAACCCCTTTCAAAGAAACGTTTGGTTTCATTGATGGGAGAAGTGGGCATGCTACATGTAGAAACTCATGATCCAGTTGGAGAGATGGAACGCGAAGAACTTCGCACCTATGGCTTAAACAGCAAAAGCATGTCCAAAATTGCCAAAGCCGTTTTGAAACTCACAGCGTTGATGGGCCTTGAGCCGGTCGCAGTATCAGCTCAGGAGGAGACATGCAATGTGATGGAGAAGGATGAGAAAAGCGTTTGGATTGGGTGACCCTCCTGATACTTGCGTGCGCATGGGCAGGAACATGTCTGGTGGTTTTTCAATACAGGAGGAAATTGGAAAAGCGGCTTTACTGGAATGAATTTCAACAAGCTGAGTGCTGAGGATGACACTTTGCTTGGAAAACACAGGGACGAGCTGAGTAGTCTTCAAGCCCAGCTCAGTACTTTGAGAGGGCGCTTCGCGAAGGAGGACATCAACACCTACCCGCGCTTCAAGCTCGGGAGATTCGAAAGATGAAAGACTTGAGGAGAGCCATGATGTACCTTTGGAAGCTGGAGTGGATCCAGAGCACCAGCTGGAATGTTTGCTAAGCAGCCTTCGAGCACAGCAGAACGAATGTTTGGCCAACGAGCTCGTCGAAGATGCTCGAGAGTTTCAGCAGGCCATTGACAATGTGATGAGAACAAAAGATTGAGGGGCAGGACTCACATCTAAGTTACTGTTCCGGGTGCGCAATAGCTTTCAAAGGGTCTACAGAAAAGCGAGAAATAGGGGAGAGGAATGGTTTTCCCAAGTTTACAAGTTTTACGTGGATGACATGCAAGAGCTGCTGAAATTACAGGTATCACAAGAGCCAGGCAAAGAAACGTTTTGACTTGCAGTTTATTTTGGTAAAAATTTGAGGAGGGGTGCCGGGCAACCCCAAATCCCGAGGGATGCCGGGCAATCCTAAAACCCGAGCAAAGCAGATCTCAAACGAGATTCAAAGCTTGGCGTGTCAAAATGTAGCCGTTGGAGCTGCAGCGCTCAAACGACAAATTCCTTTTGGTCGTGCTCACACCATGGATGACACGCGCAAATCGAGATGTGTAAACAGTTTCATGCAGTTGCGTTCACATGGAAGCTCATGTGGAATCAGTGGAATCTCCGCTGTCACATCGGCCCCAAATTAGTGGGAAAATAGAGAGCGCCGCACTGCCTTGCATTTGTTTGCAGTTGTGGATTCGATTTATGGGAAGGATTTGGCTGATGGTGCGCCAGGTGCTCATTGGTTTGCAAATGCGAGTCAAAGGACCCGTTTCCAGCCTTGGCGATACAAGGATGGGGAGCATATGATGGACTTTGTAGGAATCATGTACTGGACAGGACATTCCATGAGGCACTTCATTCCAACAGTTGCGGCGGCCATTGACATTGGCAAAGAGGCAAGGAGCAGAGGGACTATGTTGGGAGTGGTATGAAAACTAGCGCCAGCCAGCAGATTATGTGCACACCCCGAGGCAAATTGTCATCAAGGTTCAGGAGGCGGTGGACAAATCGCTCTGTGAAGGTGAGCCTAGCTATGATGAACCGGAACTGATGGAGGACTACAAGCGCTTCCTTGAAAAAGGGCAGAATACATACAGAGTAGATTAAGCCCCACTGTGTTTAGAAGAAGATGGAGCGGCAACCTGCACATTGGAGGCAAATGGCCGACAGTGGATGTGGATGTGATCGAGTCAGAGCTGTGGGCAGAACAGGGCAGCGTAGCAGATCCGGAAGCGACGAGCACTGAACCAGCCGAAGTCGGACCGTCCACCTCCACGTGGTGGCCAGTGGACACCCTGCAATTATGACGTGTGGCTTGTGCCTTTTCTTTGTGTTGTTCTCTTCGTGTTGTGGTCTCTTGATGACACGTAGGTTCGCAGGGTGACTACGGACGGGCGCATTGAGGTATGGGGACGCCAGGCATGGGGCCTAGGATTAGGCAACCTGGAGAGAAACCTGCCTCTAGGGGTCAACTGGCCTAGCAAGCGAGTTGACCCGACAAAACTCTTGCTACCACACGGGAAAAATCTAGCCGACAGACTCTTCCTTCTCTTAGCCAGCCACTAGTGACGGTCGGACAGGGCCGGACACAGCCAAAGAGTTGGAAAACTAAGTACATCAAGTATAATTGGGGTTGCTGGAATGTTAGGTCTTTAAATTCTCAACTAACACTCACTGACAATGGGGAGATTAAAATTGAGGGAAAGGAACCACAAAAGATCGACGAGCTATGTGCGGAACTACAAAAGCATAATCTGTCTTTGTGTGTTGTTTCAGAACATCGCTGGAGGGACAAAGGCACTTATAGGGTGAATGATCATTGGACATTTCTTTATTCGGGATTGGACAAGTCATCGGAAATACGGGCTAGTCAAGGGGTCGGAATTCTGCTGAATCAGGATATGTTATCCGCTTGGCGTAGGGCTGGGGAGTTGTGTGAATATAGGAGTGCGAGGTTGCTTAGGATCCGCTTGTTTATCCGTAACCGCTATGTTTCTGTTGTATCATGTTATGCACCTACATACACACATGCTGAGGTAGAAAAAGAAAGATTTTACACGGAGTTAGGACAAGTTTTGGACCAAATCCCAAGCCGCGATGAACTTGTGATTCTTGGGGACTTCAACGCCAGAGTTGGGACAAACGCACAGGAACAGTTCACCCTTGGGGATACAGGTATACGGGCACCAGTAGGACGATTCGGACTGCCTGAGGTGAATGACAACGGAGTTAGGTTGTTAGATTTTTTGGCCACTAGGGACAAGGATGGGCTGAGGGTGCTGAGTACTTGTTTTCGTCACTCGACTTACGGAACTTGGTTTCACCCCTCTTCACGAAAATGGTTCCAATTAGATCATGTTATTTGTTCGGCACGAACAGCGGGTTTGGTCACTGATGTAAAGGTTATGCCGGGTTACGTCCATAACACGGACCATAGATGTCTCAAGGTACAAATCCGTTTTCCTCCTAAAAAAGCATTAGGCAAACATTTTGCGCGTCGCGACAATCCCAGGCCGAGTAGGATTCCGCGTCTTCAGGTGCAATTGTTGCAGGATGAAGAGGTTCGCGCGCGGTTCCTTGAGTCGTTCTTCAACCTTGGTGCCGAAGGGTTGGTTAATGATTCGTATGAGCTTTTCTCACATGCGTTACGCAGAGTAGGATGGCAAATTCTCGGTCCCAAGGAGGCAAGGTTTGAACCTGAATGGAAGGCTGTAAATCAGGAACGTCTACAGGAACTCAGCGCGTACAAGAGACAAGTAGCCATGGAACAGCAGGAGGGATGTCGGTCAAGTCAGTACAAGACGGCTTGTAAATTCGTCAAAAAGGAAACGCGTAGACTTATCAATGAGTGGTGGCAACAAAAAGCTGCTGAGATTCAAAGCCTTGTTGATCAAAAAACCCCACAACACCAATTCGCAGGTTTCAGAGCTCTCCGTAAACTGTTTGTTAAAGGCCAAATGCCTGCTCGGACATTATTAGATGCTGCTGGAACACCACTACTCAATAAAGATGCCCGAGTGCAACGCTGGAGGGAGTATTTTTCTGAGTTACTGAACGTGCCTACGGTTGTCGGGGCTGATGAATTAGCTTGTATTCAATGCCTTGTTCCTTACGAACCGTTAAATGCTCCCCTCGACCTAGCTGAAACTCTTGTCGCTCGGGATAAGCTCAAAGCTGGGAAAGCGTGCGGACCTGATGGAATTGAGGCTGAATTGCTCCTTTCCCTAAATACCGCTGGTGTTCGCCTTGTTCATGAGTACTTCTGCCGGATCTGGGATGGGGTGGAGGAGATGCCTAAGGAATGGAAAGAATCTTACCTTGTGCCTCTCCCTAAAAGCGGGGACTTGTCTAAGTGCTCTAGATGGAGGGGTATTCTCCTTAGCAGTATTCCTGGTAAAGTCTTTGCGCGCATCCTGAATGCACGTCTTAATGCGTATGTTGAGGCTAACGACATTCTCCCTGAATCACAGTGTGGCTTCAGAGCTGGCCGTAGTACTATGGACATGATTTTCTGTATCCGGATGGTTATGGAAGTTGCGTCGTTAAAACAGGTACCGTCTTTCTTCCTGTTTATAGACCTGGTTAAGGCGTATGACTGTGTGTCTCGTGCTGGTCTATGGCTCATTCTGGAAAAGAAAGGTGTTCCACAGAAGTTCATTCAGGTTCTCAGGAGTTATTACACTGGTAAGGAGGCCAAAGTGGCAGTTGAGGGAACCTTGTCGGATGCGTTCTTCTTGGAAACTGGTCTGGGACAGGGATGCTGTCTGGCACCTCTTTTGTTCAACATTTTTCTCTCTGCTGTCTTTGAAGCATGGCATAAGAAAAGTTCACCTGGATTACACTGGTATACGCGCATTGATGGTATTCTACACCATAGAGAGGCTCTTGATAAATATGCGTCGTGGGAAGACCTCATGTTGGAAGAATTTGGATATGCTGACGATGCAGCCCTGGTAGCAGATACATTACACACCCTTCATATTAAAGCTGGACAGTTTCAAAGCCATTTGAACGCATGGGGAATGACGCTTTCTGTGGATAAAACTGAAGCCATGGCTACCGATGATCAGACTCATGATCCCATTGAACTTGTACCTCAGGATGGCAAAACTGGTGTTCGGTTTACTCCCTTGTTTTCTTATCTTGGGGTACAAATCTCTGACACTGGGGCTGGTGATCAGGCGGTTCTGGATAGAATAGACAAAGCCCGCAAAGCTTTCTGGTCTCTAAATAGTTCAGTTTGGAACGTTTACCAACTGTCACTAGGAACCAAAATCCGAGTCTTTAGGGCGTGTGTCATGTCTGTTTTGTTGTATGGTGCCGAAGCTTGGACGTATACGTATCCCACCCGTTCTGCTCTCAACCGGTTCTACATGATTTGTCTTAGGCGTATTGCTAAAGTTTCACTCTATGATCAGCATCGGTACGGAATTTCGAATGAAGATATCAGAGCATGGCTTGGGGTACCACCTGTGGAAGCCTTGGTCAGACAGTCACGGTTGAGATGGCTCGGACATGTTGCGCGCATGCCTAATCACAGACTCCCTAAAAAGATGCTGTTTGCTTTTCTGGACCCAGATGAAGGGATTCCTAGACCTCCTGGACATTTACACGGAAAACGATTGCGTGATTCTTACGTTCAAGATTTGGAGTCCATTGGAATGTCTAAGAACAGCTGGTTACAGGTATGTTCCTCATCGCGCGGTAGTGAACAATGGCGCCTCGTTACTAGGCAGGTAGCTCTCTGGTATCCTCCGCGGTGTGTACAGCGTGGCGGCTCTGCGCCCGAACGTAAGCCTGAAGAGTTGCCGTCTAATGTGTTTCATGGGGTATCCAAAAAACGACCTACGCATCAGTCCCGTCTTGATAAAGCTCAGCAGTTGATTCAAACAGTGTGGATCCCACAGAGTGCTTTCTTGCAATTTGAAGCAGAAGTTGGGGGTAGGCAGGCTTGGTGTCAAAAGCTGGCAAGCCGTGTTTTAGAATTGGCTTGCGAGGCCAATGATTTTGAAGGCTTACTGGCTTTGATATTAGAAGATTATCCTACTATAGTGGAAATCGATGATTTCGTCTTGTTTCAAGCCCTCCTGTTTACGGTTTGTCGCCAAGCCTCACAACCTCCTCCTATACCTCCCCGTACAGGGCTAACTCCTAAAAGGCTGCCGCGGAAAAGTGCGCAACCGGCGTGGTACCAGGTCATGGCGGACAGGACCTCCCTTAGCAAACAAGAATTAATTGATAAACCTGTTAGGGTACGCTCTGCTTACTGGAATCTTAAAGGAAAATCCCGTACCCGTGATGTAGAAGGAGCTGAATTCGTGTGTGATGTTCCTGGGTGTGGAAAAGCTTATCCTACGAAACAAGGGTTGTCTCAGCACAAGTCTATTTCACACCCTGAAGGTACCTTTAGGGAGGCTGGGTTTGACTGCCCACACTGTCCTAGGAGTTTTGCCCGCGAAACGGCTTTGAAAAGACATCTCTCTTACGAACATGGTAGTTGCCCCCACCCTTTTACTTGTCCTTGGTGTCATGGAGTTTGGCCGGGAAAACCAGGGTTACGGGCACATATGGCCGTAGAACATGCTATACCAGATTCAGAGTTTCCCATGACCTGCCCTCATTGTGTCGACACGGACAAAGAACACAAATCCTATCACACACAGCATGGATGGACCAAACACTATTTTCAAGCACACGCTTAATCGCCGCTCCCTGCAAGCTTCTCAGATCTAGGTACTCAAGCGCGTAGGTTCTAGTTCGGTTGGTATGAATGTCAGCATGGAAGACAGGGTCTCGGTATTGGAGAATAGGGTGGCTAATGTTTCTAACTTGGCTGCTACCACGGCCAAAGGGGTGGGCAAAGACAGGTCACAAAGGCAGATGGTGGTCTTTGCCACTGGAGAGTTCAAGCAAAGGTTGTTGGAACTGTTGGAAAAGTGGGTGGCAGGTGCCCAGGCTGCTAAGGCTTCCACAACGCCCTCTGAGACCACAATTCTCCCGTTTAAACTTCAGGTGGTTCAGGCGGTGGTGGCTCAGTTGGAGAACCAAGGTCTCACTGGTGAAATTCTCTCCACCCTCAAGATGGCCCCCAGACAGGCAGTTGAGGCTTGTTCCTATAAGGACCCCCCCACAGAAGCAGATAAGGCCTGGATTCTCAATGTCTTGTTTTCCTGTACCTCGGAAGGCTTGGCTCTTCGCAGTTTGTTCAATAGGCCTGAGGTCCAGTTGCTGGTGGCCAAAAACAAGACTACTGGGGAGTTCCCACCCTGTGGTTTGCGTGCAGCTCGGTTTATGCCGGGTCCTGTTCTTCGTCAGGTTCTGTCGGATGTGGGTCACTCTGAGGAACAAATTAAAGGTTGGTTCAAGGGAAAAGGTAAGGGTACCCAAAGTTCTGCTTCCGGAAAAAGACCTGCTGACAGACGGGGTTCTACGCTCGCCCGGGATGACGGCCGCACGGCTAAAAGGTAAAAGGTGTCTCGTCGCACATTTGGTTTCCTATTTTTCCTCATATTGACGTTTACAGTGGTACTGTCCGCTGAGAGTTCTCCACCGGTACCGCCCGGTGGTTGATTCCTGCTCCGTACTGTCGGAGCAGGTTCCCTCTGACCTCAGTTTTGTGCTTCCCCCCCTTTGTTTGTTCTGGTGATTTTGGTTGGTTTGTTGTACTTTATATTTGATGAGACCGGTGAGTTGTTTCTACTGTTTCTGATTAACCCCATTTGCTACTGTGAGTGATGTGTCTTTGATGTACGACCGCTGAACAATTTTGTCCGTGCTGACGACTCAGGATTGACTCCCAACTTGCTTGGCTGGGGGTTGGGGTCACGAGCGAGTTTGTCATGACGGATCCCGGGACAATGGTCCGGGTTGGACCGCAAACGTCCTCTTCAAGCATGGTCACGCACGACTCTTGGTTGGTCCCAGAGCTCAGGAGCTTGGTGTCAGAAGCCCGGCAGGAGACGGCGACGAAGTCCAGTCAAGATCAGGAGCTCAAGGGGGTCACCAAGCTGAGTCTGGCAGAATTGATAGCCCAGGCTCACAGCATGCGCATTCCGATTCCCGAGAAGCCGACCAGAGGATGGCTCATCCGGATGTTGAGGGATGCCACAGCCACACCAGCGGACACCATCGTCCCGTTCGGCAAGTTCAAGGGGTGGCTTTATCGGGAAATTCCCGTTCCTTACTTGGAATGGGCAGTGAAGGAGACCAACGGCAACCCAAATGCTCACCCAGACCTGGTGCGATTGGCAACTTGGGCCAAAGTGGAATTGGAGCGACTGTCCAACAATCCGAGGACAGGCTATGCTCAAGAGAAGATGCCCGACCCGGAGATCAATGCAACGATCCCACCTCCGACCGTGGCAGAGATGCGTCATGGTTCGGGAAGCTCCGATTCCTCTTGGGCAAGAGTCAGTGCAGCGTCCACTCCAAAGCCGAGGCCCAGGAGGACACGTCGACTCCAAGAGATGGATTCCGATGCGGCGGAGGCCGAAGAGGAAGCAACAGAGATCGACGAGATCAGGATGCTCGAGACGCGCCTGGCAGAGCTCAAGGACAGGCGCAGTCTGAATGCCCGCATGGCCCCGCGAGATCGGGACTGAAGCCTCCTCACTTCACCCTTGAGTCCGAGGAGGGCGATTGCTCGCACAGCAGTGAGATTGAGTATGACATCGGCACTTGCTCGCTTGGCACCGAGGTTGAACCCAAGGATGTCAATTGCTCGCAAGCCTATGTGACAAAGAATGTTGGCAGCAACTTCTCAAAATCTGAGGATGGCGACTTCTCAGAATTTGAGGATGGCATGGAAGAATATCAGCTCGGTGGCTCCGAGTCGGAAGACGACGGTGTCAGGTTTATGACAAACCGTCAGAAAGCTCGCCGCGGCATTGCGGCCAGAAAGCGGATGAATCGGTCGACCGCTCAGAAGCTCAAAGCAAACATGGTGATGATGTGCACCGTCATGATGTCCTGCCTGGGTGCAACAGCCAGTTTTGTGCATGAGACATGTGAGGGCCCTGTCAACGACGTGTTGGCGATTTTCACGCCTTCTGCACGACTCATGCCAGGACATCAAAGAGAAGTAGATTGTCTTGAGCTTTTTGCAGGTCGAGCTCGCATTTCTGAAGCTTTTGCCAAAAAGAGGAGAGGGGTGCTCTGCCCACGCGATTTGCTGATGGGCCATGACTTTCGTCGGCGAGAGGTCCAGCAGGAGATCTTGAGCGACATTCATGAGCACAGGCCTGGTATGGTTTGGTTGGCTCCACCTTGCACTCTCTGGGGCAATTTTTCCCACCTCAACTATGACAAGCAGACCTTGCGCAGATTGAGGCGCAAGGAGATGGACCTGATCAAATTTGCCGATGAGGTCATGGACTTGCAGGTTGCCCTTGGAGGGCAGTTTGTCTTGGAAAATCCGAGGGGCTCAGATCTTTGGCGCACCCCAACATTGCAGAGTTGGATCTCGCCTCAACGTGCCCACTTAGCTAAGGTTGACCTCTGCAGCTATGGAATGAGGAGTATCGGTGATGATTTTCCTCTTTTGAAACCGATATCCCTTTTATGCTCTGATGAGATGTTTGCACACAACATTGCCCAACTTTGCACTGGCGATCATGAGCACCTGCCCATACAGGGCAAGAACACAGCCCATTCGGCAGTGTATCCCACAGCTTTTGCCAATGCTGTGGTCAGAGCATATTCGAAAAGTCAGGCGTTTGTGGCTTTTCCCACAGCAGCAGCATCTGCTTCCAAGGATTCAGGGGGCTACATCCTTGACGGCGAAGAGGTCCCTGACGAGTCCTACGGTGCCAAAGCCATTTCCTTCCGAGGGAAGGTCAACCCTACAATCGCTTCGGCCCTGAAGAGGATCCACCAGAACTTGGGGCATCCCCCGAACAGGGAGTTGGTCCGTCACCTCAAGATCGGCGGGGCTCCAAAACCTGTGATTCACACAGCAGAGCAGATGGTATGCCGCGTGTGTGAAAGAAGCAGTAGGGCCAAACCCCACAAGGTCAGTGCTCCTGTCACTTCCCTGGATTTCAATGAGGTGGTCGCGGCCGATATCTTGTGGGTAGACACTGCTGACCGCAAGAACCTGCCAGCCCTCAATATTGTAGACTTGGCGTCAACATACCAGGTCGTGATCCCCTTGCCGGGCACTAAGTCAGAAGAGGTGTCCCAGGCTTTTTCCTCAGGGTGGATCCAATGGGCTGGCATTCCCAAGCAAGTCCTCATTGACTTGGACTCGGCCTTCAAAGACAAGTTTTTGGCACTCATGGATGAGAAGTGCATCGTCGTGCGCAGTGCGGCCGGCCAAGCTCATTGGCAGAATGGCGTATGCGAACGTCACGGTGGAAGCTGGAAGGCCATCTATGCGAAGCTCCTTGAAGAGAACCTGATCCTTGAGGAGGAGTTCACTGAGGCTTGTGCCGCCGTGTCAGATGCCAAGAACCCAAGAACTCACTGCGGAACAGATCAGGGTTCTCCCCAAGACAATGGGTATTTGGCTCCAATGGTCGTCAAGTTGGGGATCTTTTTGATGGCTCCGACGACACGGCGTCCTTTCCAGCTGGAAGTCCCGATGCCAAATTTGCTAGAGCTCAGGTCATCAGGACCGGGGCCAGGGCTGCTTTCTTTCAATGTCAAACCAAAGACGCTTTGCAGCGGGCCATCCACCACAAGCCGCGTCAACAACCAGAACACTATGAGGTTGGAGACATGGTGTATACATCTACCGTGAATACCGACAAGGAAAAGGCAAGAAACCTTCTGCTGCTTGGATGGGTCCCGCTGTGGTGATTGGGAAGCAAGACCCCAACTATTGGCTGGCCCGAGGAGGCAGATGCCTTCTCGCTGCTCCTGAACACCTTCGACCAGCTGACCCTGAGGAGGTCAGTGAGACCATCAGGATCAAGCTTGCTATGAAGGAAGTGCGAAGCATGATCAACCAGATCGAGGGTGAGGAGTACGACGACGTCAATGATGACGACTACGTTCCATCCGACATGGAAGTGGATGGGCGGGGAGACCTTTTCAAATCTTCCGACGCCGTCCCTGAGGGCGCCGATATGGAGGTGGAAGATTCTCTTCAAGGAGGAGTTCCAAGTGCTCAGGACCGGCTTTGGTCCGATGTGGCATCACGAGAGAAGCAGATCAAGAGCTCCTTTCGAAAGGCCCAAGCACTTGATGACTTGCCCGTTTGCCTCAAGAAACCAAGGACTCAGTTTATGGTGAAAAGATGCATCTCTGAGAAGGGCAAGGAGAAGCAACTTGAAAAGGAACTTCCATGGGGCCTCATTCCCCCTGACGAGAAAGGGCTCTATCAAGAACAAGAGCTCAAACAATGGAATGAACACGTTGACTTTGGAGCAGTCAAACCTTTGTCTTTGGAGGAGTCAGAGAAGATCAGGCGAACGGTTGCGCCTGAGCGCATCCTCAGATCAAGATTTGCATACAAAGACAAGAATTATGCCAAAAGGAAGTGCGACCCAAAGGTGCCACCGAAACCAAAGGCCAGACTTTGTATCGCAGGTCACTGTGACCCTGATTTGGGCACTATGGACATGCAGGTGGACGCTCCCACTACCAGCCGACACTCCATACTTTTGGCACTACAATTGGCTCTAGCACGTGGCTGGAGAGTGAGTGTCGGCGACATCAAGGCCGCCTTCCTGAATGGCGTCGAGTCAGATCGAAAGCTGTA